TGGTCAAGAAGGCCCAACGGCGGCTGTACTTCCTGAGGAGGTTTGGCATGTCGCCTAGGATCTCTTGCAACTTCTACAACTGCATCAGTGAGAGCAGCTTGACAAGCTGCATCACTGTCTGGAAAGGCAGCACTACTGCTATGGACTGCAAGCGCCTGCAGAGAGTGGTAAAGACTGCCGAGAAGATCTGTGTGGACTCCACTGCCCTCTCTGCAGAGCATTTACCACCGCAGGGTGTGTAAGAAGGCTGCCTCCATCCTCAAGGACCCCACCCAGTCCCAGCACAGACTGTTCACACCCCTGCTCTCCGATCGGAGGCTCAGAAGTGTGAAATGCAGGACCTCTAGACTGAAAAACCCAGCAGCAAAACTTTGACTGCCATCAGACTCCTAAACAACTGACTCAGGATCTACCTCATGTAATTCCATCTGTACTGATCACATATTCATTTTGCACATGCATAACTGCACTCATTCCTGAGTATTTGCACTTCATGGCTCCCATGTAGCATATATTCTTTCTGCATTTTATTGTGTTCTTGTTGTATTTTTATTTGCTTCCTTCACTTGTTGCTTTAAATTTGTGATTTTACTGCCTATTTAGATTTGTGTTATTGCTCATCTACTTGTATTTTACTTTGTATTTCACTTGTTTTATGTGGCATTCATGTGGACGGCAAAGTAAGAATTTCATTGTACAGGGAAACACGTTTCCTAACTGTGCATATGACAAATAAACACTTTGACCTTTGACCTTGACATGTGATTGTGACTCTCTTACTTCAGAGATTGTAAAAAGTGATTTCTGCTCTTGGTTCTTGGTGCTCAATTTTGAAAAGAAAAAAAAAACAACAAAAAAAACAAACAAACAAAAAAAAACACGGCATTTACATATTTTGTAATGAAGAAACATGCCACCCAGTGTAGGGGTGTGGCTCACTGGTGTAAACAGGGGTTTATGACACAGACCAGTAAGCTAAACTAGGGTCTGGATTCACACACATTACAGTGAGCACACCAAATTCATTGCTGCTTATAGTCTTTGAGTACGATTTGTGGAAAATAATAAAATATTAGAGTTTATTCTTACTTTTTTTTTACTTGTTTTTGTTTTCATTTTTAATTAAATGTCAAATAAAGGTAAAAAACTGAATGCTCATCACACTATCAGATTTTAACATGTAATAACTTTTGGCCACTTGGGGCATCAGTGAACTTGAGATCAGCAGTTATAGAGCAACAATAACATTAGTTTGGAGCACTGTGTTTGTCCACCCAATTAGAACTGACTGTTTTCAGTCTGCCTGTTTGGTGCTGAGTGCACAGTGGCTTTTTAGAGCTGTTTTGTAAAACAGGTGCCTGCTGCAGTCAAAACTGACACTATGAGAGCAGTGAGACTGACCCACAGCAGTAAAGTCATGGGCCACACAGTTTAGAAATGAGCTGAAACTCATGATAAAGCTGAGAGAAGCTGCAGATTCAGGTGATAATTCTCTGTAGGTTCATCAGTACAGGTGCCCCCTTTCACATTCTCTCACAGTTTCTATATTATCATTTGATCTTGTTCTAAAAATGTCTGTTTTAACTGCTTTAAAACCCTTTTTGTCCAACCAACAGTCCACAATCCAAGAATATTCAATTTACAAAGACACAACTGTGACTATTAACACTGCAACACTATGAATATAGTTACAAATGCTACACTAGTCCACTACTCATACTGCTGTTGAAGCTACTTACAATACCTCTACAACACGTACTGTTTCTCCTTGTACTGTGATAATAATCACATGGTGATGATAATAAAGATGTAGAATACCTCTTGGACAGTGTGTGGAAGAAGGTGGTCTTCCCGTGGTATGAGCAGAGGTCGTCGAGATCTTTGGGATAACACTGTTTCAGACTCTCAATCAGAGATTTGAGCAGCATTAAGCACTCTTTACTGTGAGAGAGAAGATGAAATGATTTACTGCAACTACTGAACCCAAGAAAAGTGACATATTCTATGATTATAAAACTACTTCTATGAAATCATAACACCTCCCTAAAAACTTTTAAAAGCCTCAGCTGGAGGCTATAATGTCCTCCCATTATATAATATCTTCATAAAAGTTGTAATTAATAGTTTTACTATTGGTAATAAATCATTTACTAATGCTTTTAATGTGATATGAAAAATGGGCTGACAGTTGTGAAAAATTTACTCTACTCTGATGCATCACACTAAATGACTGTGCTGACTGTGAACACAACGATTAGATAAACAGAGAAAGCAAACGCAGTGAGTTCGTTAAACAGCTCAAAGTCTCACCGGCAACACTTGTTGGCGCGAGTCTCACAGCAGGTTTTTGTGTTCCCATGACACATGATAATTTTTTTCTCAATCTGAGAGAAAGAAATCCTCCAGCTTTCTAGTAAAGAAACAAACATCCAGCTGTGATAGTGACATCATGAACAACTGGTCCTTTATGAGACAAATTACACGGCTCATTTCGTTTATTTACATGTTGAGAGAAGCTTAATGAGGACAAGGATTGAACAACCTGCTATCTGTCTTAAAAATATGGCACAACTGCAACCAGTCATGCAGTTATCTTAATATATGGTGTATAATATTTACACATGCAGCAAAAAACTTGTAGATAAACTAATCTGTTGAAGGTTTTAGTGACCTCTTCTCTGCCCCAGTTTGCATTTGACAGGAGACAAAACCTTTTCTCACCTTTGGCGTTCTGGCTGAGGTTTCGTCCTTTGAGTCTCTTTGGCACAAAGAAACACGACAGACCTTTGATTTCTTGGCGAACCTTCTTCCCCAGCCAGCTGCCCACATCCGGGCCATCACGGGCAGCGGGCGGCCAGCCCTGAGTTGGGTGAGCCTGCACACAGCAACAAAGACGAATGTTAAGTCACTTTAGGACCATGAGTATATAAATACAGCACTACTGTCAAACACAACAACTTATTCTACTCCTCCTTCGACATACTGTTACCATTACTACTACTACTACTCTTAGTCCAGCTACAACTATCACTATAAATCATTTTAATTATGTCTTTGATTTCACCAGGATATCCGCTTGGTATCGGTGCTACTTCCCAGAGTACACATATTGAAAGCAAAGAATAAAACAATTAAAGTGTTATGGTGGCGTCCCCCTCACCAGGGGGGTGAGGGAGAACTGAGGTAGGACTCAATGTGCAGACCCAGGTGCTAGTGAAAAAAGGTGATTTAATGGTAGCAACACAAACAAAGTAACACCGTTAAGATATACATACAACCAGGTTTGGACAGTACAAAAACAGGGTAGGGCAGCGTGGAAATCCAAAAGACGTATCTGTATACATAATAGGTATTTAGTTATTTCGGTAATGCTCCAGCAATGACAGAGCATTTGCCAGAGGTTTAAATAAGGAGGAAGGTGATTAACGGAACGTGCCTCAGCTGTGTGCCACACGCAAATGAGTCACTGATTACTGAATGTGCCACAGCTGAGGCGCCAAGCCCGCAGGACAAGAGAGCAGGGGAGAGAAAGGCAGAAGAGAGGCAGGTCGCGCCGAGACACCTGACATAAAGCAAATTAAACAGTAGTGAAAACCTGCACTACCTGTGAATCTACTGTGCAACTGTTGAGATTTCGGTAGAATACCTTGCTCTCATAAAGACAAGCTGTCACTGTGATACCACACCATGATGCTACAGCATTCTTAAATATATAAATAAAGAAAAATGTTGATCCCATCTCTCTGGTGACCTTTTTTGTAGAGGAACCTACTTAAACAGGTATTATGATGGTGAACACTGGTAGCCAGGCATAAGGATGTGATAAATGAAAGAAATCACTGTCAGGACTTTGACTACTACCACTACTACCACAAGTACCTCCAGAGCAGGAACCACGTCCACAGAGATCAGCTCCTCCGTGTCGTTCTCTGTTCTGAGCAGAGACAAAGTCACAGCTGGCGAGGTCGGATGCTTCCTGTTCACCTCCCAGCGACAGCGTTTATCAGGTACTGGAAACAAGAAAATGTGAATGCAGATGGGCTCTGTAAGTAGCTTCATCTGTGTTCCTCAAAGGGAGATGGAGGTCAAAACAGACAAGAGCACTCAGCGAAAAATAAGATGCACTCAAACACACACAGAAAAGCCTCTGTTTTATAAGGCTACTGACTATGGTACTACCTTATATCAACATTTCATATCAGTGTCAAATGAAAAAAAAACTCCATTATAAAATAAAAGTCTGCACTGAGAGATTACTTATACACATATAGTTGGTTGAAGTGGAGTTAGTTTAAATGTAACACACACCAGTAGCAACAACAGAAAGCAGAGGGAGAAACCAGCAAAGATCAGCAAAAACTAGAAGAAAAGAACAAAAAGATCAGAGGTAGATCAGAACACCTTTATAGCTCTTGAGGAATTTGCGAACCAGGCGGTACATCTCACTCAGGATCTTGCTTGATGAGACCGTGCGCTCGTCCTCCAGAAGAAAGGCCTCTATTGGGGTCCGAGTGGGCCGCATCAGCTCGATGTGGTAGAAGACTCCGCTGTCAAGCGCTGTCATTTTGAGAGGTGATGGAGCTTGAAGCTTCAGCATCATGTCAAACTCATCAGGGCTGTGGATCTGAAGCAGGAACACACAGATCCTTAAAAACACTGGGGTACTACCTTTAGAGGTTGTGAGTGGTCAGCGTGACCTCACCTTAACCTTCTCAAAGTAGCTGCCAGTGTTGAGGAAGTCAGCCGACTGGAAGAAGGGCTGATCCTTGTTGCTCCGCAGGAATTTCAGCAGGTTTTCACGGAAATCGTTGACCATCTCTGCAGCCCAGCAGCGGTCTTTCTGCCGAATCTTGAGGTTTTTAGCGTTGGCTTTGATCCAGCTGGCCAGCTCTGAAGAGACAGAGTTTGCGTCCTCGACTACCACAGCATCTGCACAGTGACACAGATGAGACTGCTGTAGCTACTACAGGACTGGTTATATATATAAGTGAGCAGAGGAGTCTATCGACACCTTCTCCAGCTCTCCAAAGCAAAGAGGAAGGTTTTCAGTAGCATTACCTGATTTTTGTTGCTGGAATTTCTGCCTTGGTCTTGCTGATGGAGGACCTGACTTTCGTCTTTTGTCATCTTTACGCCACGTCACTTCAGTCAGACCATCCTGTGTGAGGTTCAACTCTCTGCCCTCTGCGTCCATAGATCATTTGTCTCAGCCTCTAACAGATGTGCACAGAGATCACTGACAGTAACTGTGCTGCAGAACATTCAGGGACATTCTAGTTTGAAAGGATTCAGTGAGATGTGTTTTTGTTGCTTTGGATTTGTAATGGTACATCTGATGAAACCACTGGAGACAGAACATCAGGTCACCATCATTTAACCCCATGTAAGTCACAGCATGTTTGCTGTTTTGGCATTAAAAGTTCAACTAGTGTTAACTCAAACACAAGTTAGGTTTGATTTCCACTCAAAAAGTGTGAGTGGACAAAGAAAATAATGTTGTAGTCCAACTTCAAGTTTAGTCACCATGTGTAAGAGAAAACCAAGGCGTTCTGTTTTTCCACATTATAA